AAGTCTATTTATAGCTACACCTCAAACACATACTAAAACACACACATTAAAGGATAAAACTCGCGAGCTAAGGCTCACTCGCGAGTTTTGGCTCGGATTTAGGCATATATTCTCATTACTTGTTTATTTGATCTACCAAGGATGATTCCTATTTTATTAGGATGACATACTAAGTATTTTGATAAATGATGATGTTTATAAGATGTGCTGTTAAAATTATTTACATTCACTATGTTCTCGTCCGTCGGGTTGATGACGTCCCCGAAATGAGCTCATGAATGAATATTATGTTAAGCCCTGCTGGCAGATTAATTTCCAATATAATGATTAAGGAACTGAGTGGTACTAATTTCAGATCTTGTGGGATAAAAAAATTTGATTACTTTTATTGTTAGTAATTTAATTACTCAGAGGACGTTATATCTTAAACATAGGGATGATAAATCGATCAATTAAAGTAATATTAACTAACTAAGTAGGAGGTTCGAATTTATTGAATAAATTGAAGTTAAAAGGAGAGAACAATAATATTACTCTTATGAAATGTTTTATTATTTAATTCAACATCGTAAAAAAATTAATTTATCTTCTAGAATTTTCCTAATTAGAAGTATATTATTCATTCTAGAATATTGCCAATGATGGAAGCCATGGGAGTCTTCTAGAAGGGGTAATTAAGTTGGAAGAGATTAGGGCTTCTAGAAGGGAAAGGAGTTGGAGGATATTAGGTTTCCTAATCTTAGTTGGAAAAACTCATATTTGGCACCTCCGTAAGGTCCCTAATGTAGCCTATAAATACACCATGTCTAACCTCTATTCAAGAGTTGATGTTGGCCGATTTTGAGGTCTTCAAAAGAGAGGAAAATTGAGAACTTCATATATATTGAGAGTTTGGGAGTTTGATTTAATCGCACCACCAAGATTAATTATTCAAAATAGGAGTATAAGGTCATACATTAGAAAATCTTAGGGTCTAATACTTTGAGCATTGTTTGTTCCATATTTGTTGCATTTTTTGTTGTTATTTATCCTTTCTTTTCCCCCGTTCTAGGTCTTCTGTTTTGTTTTTAGTTAGTTTTGTGTTTTGTTGCGTGTTTTTTTTTTTTATTTTGGGTTTTTCTGTATTTTCGTTTGTGTTTCTTTGTTTTCTTCGTTTTTCTTTCGTTTTTGGTGTGGAGGTCGGGAGCTTATGGTGGATATGATTTCAAGAATAGGTTGTCCATGCAAGCATAATTAACTAGAAGGATCGGCTGGCGACGCGTAGAAAAAAACGACACTCAATTTCGAGTTCAAACGAGCCAGAAACGTAAAGTCGCGCTTAGGAGCCTTCACCCAGGCCCCGCGGAGTGCCCAGCACCGCGCCCGGGCAGAGAGCTACCCAGACACTCTGCCCGACCAGAATTTATAAAACTTGATTTTTCTCATTTTTTCGAACACTTTCGATGAGGACTCGTTCCCAACCCTAGAAAAACATCCCCAAACTCGATTTTGTCTAAATTTCAACCATAGAACTTAACCTTTGCTCTTGGTTTTCATCTTGATTTCACCAATGTTTTTGGATTAAACTTGTATCTCGGATTCGACTTTTAATCCCATTTTAATCGTAAGTTATTCTCTTCATTTAATCTGTGAATATGAATGCTTGGTTTGTGGATATGCATAGGTAAATCTGATTGCTAGGGATAAGGATAACATATTCTTGTTCGTTCGTATTTGTCGAGCCTTGATTTGTTCATTGTCGTGCGAATTGATTTGAGAAAGATTGTTAATTTCATGCTTGAAAATTGAATACAATTGAAGAGTGACACTTCAATCTTGCAATTGGTGACAATTGAATATTGTTCTTTCGAGTTAAAGTTTTTTATTCTAAATGATTAGTCAATTAATAATCTTCTAATTTAATTTTGCAACTTTTAGAACTGAAAGGGGAGAAGTTGTAGACCTAGGCTCGCATGAGATGGATGATTTCGTAAAAGAATAGTTTATAGGTTTTCGGATTGAAATACATGCTCATCTACGTCCTTTCCTTTATTACGAGAGTTATTGGGATTGGACCCTAGGCCAATGTTGTATGCTTGAACTTGTTCATCTATGTTTAATCCCTTGTTACAAAAAGTTATTCGAAGCGAACCGCTAGATGTTTAAGAGAGAATGTCAATCTTGAACCGAACAATTATTTGCCCAATTTTGCATTTAGAACATAATCCCCGACTCCCTAGCCTCTTTATAATTGGTTGATTCCTGTTTTTAAGTTGATTTCTATTTTTGCATGATATTTCTTAGTTGTTAGTTCATACATCCTCCTTGAATTAGAGTGTTTAGGTCTTAATTTTCTTTTATGTGCAATCAACATCAACTCTAGATTCTGAACTGCCTTCCTCGAGAGATCAACCCGAGGTCGGGAGTCATCCCGTACTCGGTAATAATATAATCTGCTACAACAAACATCCCGAAGCATATATATATTGATATTAGAAATATTCCGGCGAGTCACAAATAGTTGGAAACCACCAGTGCAAGCCATCGCCGAAAGTCGTACACCGTTGCTCCCAGCTAGATGCCACCGCCACGGATCCACTAGTGACCAGTTCCCAGCCGCGAGCCAGCCGCACGAGTTATTCACCGACCACGCTCGCTCAGACAACATCCCAGCCGCACACAACCGCGACTTACCAGGTCTTTAACGATGCCGCATGCAAGCCCGAGATCCCCGCAGACACCGTGACCTTCCAGCTCTCGCTCGACCTAACATCCTCAGACGCAAGTAGAGCACGTGCGACACCTGCACAGAGAAACCCGCGCACGCTAGCACATAGCGCCCGACGCGCAGAGTCGCGCGCTCCCAGCCGACCTGCAAGCCAGCGACTGTAGCACCAGTCACACGCACGAACTGCAGAAAGCGAACACGCGACGCGTACGCACGCCAGCCGCCCGCAGCGACCCGACGCAACGCGTAAGCACCAGGATAGCGTCCGACGCGTAATGATCCCCGATGAGCTGATCGCGACCCGACCACATCCCGGTGACCCGTGATCAACTGAGGAGGCCAAGTTCAACTGCCCAACGGACTCTGCGGTTCGGACGATAATCTACATTGCAGATCTACAACGTCTCAGAGTCGACAAAATTTTAAACGGTAATGTCCTAATCCTAACAATAGATTCCGCTGCGCTAGGATTTAATTTGTTAGATTTAGATGTGCATATCGATGACGTTCCTAATAGAACCCAACACAGACCGCGCGAGAACGCATGAGTAAAGCGCAAGACAGCGCTCAAGTGATGGGCAGACTAGCGAGACTGCGCGACATGCGTGCAAGAGAGCCTTGAGACACACTCGCATGTTGGGCGAATGCGTTTGCGGGTAATGAGGGAACTCGCGACTTGGGAAAAGTTGTTTGCGGGCGCGATACAGACAGAGGCGCGCGAGGCGCACAGGAGTACGCACGCGGGGGGCCGTGGTTCTCGCGCAAGGGCGCGCTGTGTATGCACGCACGCAGTTGACGTGCGGGTCAAGCTGACTGAGGTGTTCGGGCGCCAAACTAGCACGCGCAGGAAAACACGACTGGGACAAGACGCACCTGATGGGCAGCGGACCGACGCCTAGAATACCCGAGTAGACCTAGGTATGGCGTGGACAACAAGGCTGACCAGTGGGTCTTGGGGCACAAGCAAGGCTTGGGACGCAAGAATTGTCGGAGTGACGTGAGCTGAATTGCCGAGCAAGGTTGACAAGCTTCTAGAAGACTTAGGCTAATTCTAGAAGATATTATTATATTAGTAAATTATTAACTTTCATAGTTAGTTTATTCTTAGGTTATTAAATGTTTGGATTTTGATCATGTGCCTAATTAGTTATTCGTTAGTTATTTGGTAATTCTCAATATTCTAGATATATTATTTCCTTAGGCTTAAGATTATATTTCTCATAGGATTGGACATAGTTATTTTCTTTAAATAACTTGTCTTATGTTCAAGTTTCCCATCATTCAAGTTAATAAAAAATCGTTCATTCGTAAAAACTTTCGTGTGTTAGAATTCTCATATGTTTTATCATATAACCGTGTCAAAAGAAGGTCTATTACGCGTCTTTCGTCTCGCCTTTCGAAACTTTTATCGCTAAGAATTAAGTTGTTGGTGTGAGTTCAAAGCATCGAGAATCGAGATACACGATGTTCATCACGCTGGTTGAGGGCATACTGACTTCTAAGGGGGTGATTGTTTATGGATTCAACTAGCTTTTATTTGATTTGTTTTTTAAATATAGTTAATTTTGAAAAAATGTGGTACAGTTAGTTGTTGGTGGATATATTAAAATAATACTTAAACAAAATAATTATAGTTGAGTTGATGTAAAGTAAAAGAAAAATGATTGAAAGTGATTGTTAGTTGAAATTATGTGAGTGGATGAAGAGTGAATTAAAGTTGATGTGATTTGTAAGAATGATTGGTTGATATTATTTAGTTATATTGGTAATATTGATGATAGTGTGGTTGAGTTAAAGTTGAATTAAATTTGAGTTTTGATTGATTTTTTAATGTTGAAATCATAAATAATCACCGCCTAAATCACTAAACTAATCACTATCACACCATTTTACTATTTTTTTTTTTTTCTTATAAAACTTTGAATTTACGCACGTTCAAACTTAAACTCCGGCCCTACCGCATTCTCTTGTTCCCATCGAATGGGATCCATTTCAGATCGATTAAATTTACTTTTTTATAAGTTCTAACCCTCTTCATCCTCTACGCTAATTCTACGCTTATTTGAACTTCCGATTCAACACGCTACCTATGACTTCAACATCAAACACCTTTCTTTTTTATTATTTGGACTGTGCTCCAAACGTATATATATGCACCATACACTCTCAGCCGCAAAAAAAAAAATTAAAAAAAAACCCAAATCAACCCTCATTGCAGTTACATGCCAATTCACAGTACCACGGCTTTAAAACTGAAATTGCCCCTTTCTTTCTGCCCTTTTAATTATAAAAAATGGTTAAGACATCCTCAGATTCTTCCTCCTCCTCCAACACTCTTGAGCCCAAGTACAAGGGCGTGAGGTTGAGGAAATGGGGGAAATACGTGTCCGAAATTCGCCTCCCCAACTGCCGCGAACGCATATGGCTGGGCTCGTACGACTCAGCCGAGAAGGCCGCCCGGGCCTTCGACGCGGCCCTCTTCTGCCTCCGTGGGCCCGGCGCCAAGTTCAACTTCCCAGAGGACCCCCCAGAAATTCCGGGCCGCCAGGGTTTGAGCCCGGCTGAAATACAGGCCGTGGCCCAGCACTATGGTAATAGCTACGCTGGCCCAGGGAATAATGATCAGAGGCAGATGGGCCGGACTGGAGGGGAGGCCCACCAGTTTCGGGCCAGGGACTCGATTGATTGGTCTTTCTTGGATGTGTTGGACTCGGATGAAGGCCGCGTCTCGGACTTTACCCAATTTCACGAGCCATGTGATATGTACTTGACGCAACCGCATTTTCCAGATAATGGTGATGATGGGGACGAAGATGGGAATGGTGGTAATATTAATATGCAGTCTTTTCTATGGAACTTCTGATGGACAAAAGAGTAATTTGGTGTGGGGATCATGAGGAATTTTATGATTATTAATTCCAGTACTAAGCTTCCTGGTATTATATATTTTCTTACTTTCTATTTTTTGTCAGGAAATGTAGTAATTAGCTAGCTAGTGAGCCAATGATGTGTATTTATAAGATGAGTGTAGATTAGCATCAATGTTTCATATATATATTTATATATATATGTAATAAAAGACTCAATAAGTCAAAATTATAGAATAATTTGGCCTTTGTTACCAATTACAATTAGCTGCATGCATGCGCGGTTTAAAGTGAGAAAATGGTTGGAATGTCATACTTGAAATTTGATACTTCATAAATATGGAATGTGTATGTATATTTACACTTGTCTATTTTCTTCAAGCATATATTTTCTCCACGAATATTTATGGAGCCCACGAGCAATGGACTGGACATGATCAGTTGCACTATCAATCTTAAAAATGAAGTATGATGATGAGCAGACCTTAATGCAGTTAATGCCCCACAAAACAAATTCTACCAATTTAATGGTTTAATGTTTTTCTGAAGTCAATTTCACTCGTCGTTGATTTGATTCACAAATATTTTCGGCTGATCTTTCATCATTCCTTTTGTTTGATATTCCATTCGAAATCTTAATAACGGCTGAATGTGCATTTCCTTATCTTGCAAAACAGTGACTGTCTTAATTAGACCTTTCTATTGGTAAGACTTTGCTTGCTACAACGACTACATGTTCTCACAAAAAAGACAACGCCGTGAGTGCAATATATTTTCTTTGGAAAATATAAATTGGATAAAGTAACTATTTTTATAATTTACGAAAGTGTTTTAAATAGAAGAACTAATTGTGTTGTGGTAGAAAAATAGGAAAATAATGATTGATGTTGATAAATATATGAATGTATGAATATACCTCCATATTGACCCAACTGTTCCTTGAATATCTTGTCCACTAATTTCTAATACGCTGTCCCCGTATTATTCAGAAAATTCACTCTCTTCCTATCCTCTCGAACTCGAGGAATTTGATAATGCTCTGAGATGTATCTATTAGACTCAATAGCTCACACCCCACAGTTGAGTCGACCAACTGGTCAATTCGAGGCAGTGGGTAGTGGTCCTTGGGGAAAGCCTTATTAGGATCCTGAAAGCTGATGCACATCCTCCATTTCCCCTCACTTTTTTAAACACCATTACTATTTTAGACAACCATTTTGGGAACTGTATCACGATAATGTGACCTGCCTTGAAGAGTTTCCTTACTTCTTGCTCTATTACCTTATCCATCTCAGCGTCATGATGTCTCCTCTTTTGCCTGACCGGCCTCACACTTAGGTCGATATTGAGTTTGTGCTCGATGATGTTGGACTCAATCCTGGTGAGCACCTCTGCCGTGTATGCAAAAATATTCAAAAACTCCCTTATCATCTCTATCATCTCCGACGTTAATGGCTCTCCTAGCTCTTTCCCATCCTAAAATACCTCTCATTGCATCCTTCAATCATTTAGATCTCTTTGACCACCCCTCCGGGCTGAATGTCAACCTTCTCCTTCCCTTTATCGAGCTTTGACCTCTCCTCCTTCGACCTAGACCCACTTGGTCGATCTGACACCTCCTCTTTTAGCCTGGCTGCTCTCCTGGAAATCTGTCGATTGTTACTCACCATTTTCTGATAACAGCTCCTCGAGGTCAGCTGGTCGCCAACGATTTCCCTTAAATACTCTCCAACCAGATATTTGACCATTATATGATAGGTCGAAACCACAGCTTGAAAAGTACTAACGCAGGTCCTTGCCAAAATAATGTTGTACGATGACTCGACACCTACCGCAACAAACCACACCATTTTGACCTTACGGGTTGCCCCCGACCCAAGGGAAACAAACAGAGTAATCTCTCCCACAGAAACCATCTCGCTCCCATAAAATCCATACAGAGACGTCACAACCTCCTTTAATTCCAAGTTCAAATCAAGTTGTTTAAAAAACAATCATAAAACATTACATCCACCGAGCTCCCTGTATCGATAAAGACACGCTTTACGTCATACCCTGCCACCTCAGTTGTTATGACAAAGACATTATTGTGGGGAACTAGAACCCCCTCAGCATCCTCAGCTCGAAAGCTGATTATCGACATTCCAGCAGTGATCCCTATTTTCTCTCTCTTCCTCTTAACAGCTCGAATATGCTCCTTCCTTGCGTTGTTGGAAATCGCCATCAGTCGTCCCACTAGAAATCATGTAAATAATACCCCCCCCTTGACTGGTACCGCATCTTCTTGTCCCTCTCGACCTCCGTCGCCTCGTCTGCGCTTATTCCCCTCACCACGTCGACTTCTTCACTCTTCTCTCCCCTCTCCATCCTCATCATCCTCCTAGTCATCCTTCTCAAGTGAATCTTCTCGACACCTCCTCTTCTCCCTTTTATTTGCTTGATCATGATAAATGAACTCCTTTAGGTGCCGTGCTCGAATAAAACGCTCGATTTCGTCCTTTAGATGCCTACAGTTCTCCGTCGTATGCCCATAGTCTCTATGGAAATCGAAGTACCTATTCGACCTTGGCTGGGTAGGTCTCTCGCTCCTCGATTTTGGCCATGTTACATCCCAACCATCCAACTTTCTTTCGATTGTCTCCAACACTTCAGTCATCTGGGTTTTCAACGGTGTATACTTGTGATACCTCTTGCCACCTTAAAGGGGTCGATCCTTCCACAGATCCTCCCTACCCCTCTCCAACCTGTTCTACCTGTCCCTTCTGGGCGAGTTCGCCCTCTCCTTCTTTGCTTGCACCGCTTTAACACCTTATCGAACGTACGATATGGTGTCTAGGTTAGGAATTTCAACAAGGGCCATCTTGTAAACTCCTTATCAAACCACCAGCCTTGACCTCATCTGAGGCCGAAGGAATCTGAATGCATGCCTGATTATACCTTGCAACATACTTCCTTAAAGACTCTCCTTCTTCTTGTCTCATCGCCATCAACGTAAGGTATGTCTTATCCTGGGCTACAGCGCTCGTTTATTTGTTTAAGAACATGGTAAAAAAAATCCTCAACTCGATCGACCATCGGGAAAGCTAATGAAACCAATCATGTGCCCCTCTCCTCAAGGTCGAGAAGAATGCTCAGCAACTCACAGCATCAGAATATAGATAGACATATTCTCCAAAGACCAAACATGCCTCGACGGATCTGTTGTCGTCATAGGTTAAACTGACCTCACAAAAGTTGTTTGGTAACACAGCTTCTAAAATTTCTCTCGAGACTTCATGTCCTCAAGCTCGATCCACTGGTCTCATGCACCTTAGCTTGCAGCTAGCGCAAATGCTCTGACATCCTCTCCAAAGTTCGGTCCCTTCGATCTCCTTCACCCTCATGTGTTGACTCCTCCATCTTAGTCTCTTGTTGGTTGGTGCCCACCACCGTGGTCGGTGCAGTGTTGGCCTAAGAAGTATGATGAGTGGCTTGCCTCTCCGCATCAGCACCACAACAGTAGCGATCATAGGATCTAGCTCCTCCCTTGGCAATGTAAGCAGATGCTGGTCTGCTCGCTCCACCTCTGTCCTTGACGGTCCTCACACCTGAACCATCGCTCCTGCTGGTTGTGCGCCCACCGATCTACCCTCTTCGTGTTCTGAACGGTGCTCCTTAAGCCGCTCGAGCATCAGGGGCTTGACTCGAGCATGCGACGTCACCAGAGGCCACCAATGAATTCCCTACGCCCATAGGACGGGGCATCGAGGTCTGAGAAGGTCCAGAAAAACCCAGAGGTGGGACTGCTCCGAACGGATGCGTGTTCGGCTACACATCGTCAAAATTTTGCTCCAAGTTTTTCCTGTGAATTTCGCCAGCCATGGCTATGGTGAACATAGCTTTTCACACAAAATTTCCCACTGACGGCACCAAATGGTATGCAAAGACTCTCGGCCGGCTATCGGCATGCTCACGAGCTTCCTCGCCGGTTGAACGCCTTAGACCTGCAAAAACTCTCACACTTGAGGGGTTTCCCGGTGAAGAGTCTCCAATGGTTAAATGGGTATGTGTAGAAGATGAAGTATAGAGACAGATCTCTGTATAGTAATGTATAATGGACGTAATGCTGAAAATTGCATGTCTTACCCTATTTATAGGGGTGAGGTACTAGAAGGCTGCCGGATTTGGTGATCTGGCTACCCAAGCTGCCCGAGTTACCCGTTAGTACAACCCACACTGCACAGTGTGTCAGAGATGGTTATGAAGCGTAAACCAATCAGGTGGTGGCACATGGTTTTACCCATGTGGGGGTTTAATTCTCCTAAGATTCTTTTTTATCATTTAGTCCACTTCATTAGATGGTCTAACCATGATTGGACCTCGATTATCTCGAGGTGAAGTGTTACCAACATCGGGCCCTGCTGTCTTGCTCACCTGGTCTATCCTTCAACCAAGTACTCTTTCGAGTCTAGCTTTCCCCAGGCCATCCAAGGGACATCACTCGACCTACTGGTGTTCTTTGCGTCACCGGTTCTTTGTTCGACCTGAGAGTCTTTCGACCCAAAGAATCTTCATTCTCCGCTCGACCTGATGACACATCCAGTTCAGTTCGGTTGTCTCTCCGGTCTAGTCAACCTGGTATGATTATCCTACATCTAATACAAAAGAGAAGTCATTTTTATCTCATTAGAAAAAAAAAATTATCTCGTACTAATCTCGTATATTTCACCCCATTTTAAATTATAGAATTTTTTTAAGAAAATCAGTTAATACTATACAAATTTTCATTACATGTTATAACTATAACTTATATTTTTTTACTTTCATATCACTATCACATTATGTGTGACTATCACATTTCAGTCTAACCATTAATCGCATTTTTTTTTATTTTAATTTTTTATTTTTTTCGGAATAGCAACAACATCTCACCAGTGACTAGTCGGTACCAACAAAAAAGAACCGCAAAAGTCTCATAGATGGACGCTTTATTGAGTTGACAAATTTTACTGATAGT